TGATGTCCTGTAACCACATCAGATTTAAAGCCCTGATGCCTACAAAGCCAAAAACGGACCAGCATCTCTCCACCTTCAACTCTAAAAAAAGATGCTTCTTCAAGGGTTCTTTAGTAAAGAATGGTTCTATATAGCACCAAAAACGATTCTGCTATAGTATACAAGCTTAATAATAACGGAATCCTTTTGGGTGCTATATGGAACCATTTATTAAAAAAAAATTCACTCTGAAGAACGATTCACCATGCAAAGAAACATTTAAGCATGCAAACTAAAGAACCCTACATTCTCCATCAATCTGAAGAACCATTTCGCCATGCAAAGAACCATTTAAGCATGCAAACTAAAGAACCCTACGTTCTCCATCAATCTGAAGAACCATTTCACCATGCAAAGAACCATTTAAGCATACAAGCTTAAGAACCCTACATTCTCCATCGATCTGAAGAACCATTTGACCATGCAAAGAACCATAATGGTTCTCTGAATGTTCATGATAATGTTTGATAAAGAACCTCTACCTTTACTAAAGAACCCTTGAAGAACCATCTTTTCAAGGGTGTATGGCAGCGGTTGTAAATCGATCTGTACCTTGAGCCTTTCAAGCCGTCCTTCAAGACAAGCATCACAACTCTTCTCTGTCCTGGAGCCCAGGCGGTGGAACCAACTGTCCTGGAGCCCAGGTGGTGGAACCAACTGTCCTGGAGCCCAGGTGGTGGAACCAACTTCCAACTGAAATGCAGACTGAAGAACATCTCTTTGTATGGCACTTAAGCGAGCACTAATCCAAGTTCTTACTGAAATGCATTGTATTGCACTTATGCCATGTTTAATTCTGTATGCTTCTTTCTAGGTATCAGCACCTGCTTTTGTTTTCTGGCAGTGTTTGAGCTCAAGGGTAGTTTTTCATCTAACCTGTTTGTAGCAGCTAGGATACGTTCTCTGAGTGGACAACAAAGCCATTTTGTAAGTCGCTCTGGATAAGAGCGTCTGCTGAATGTAAATTTAAATGTAAACAATACTCTTTTTAAGAAAGCACTGCACAGCCACAATGTGGTTATTTTGAATAACAACCAAATGAACACCAGTAAGAGATACCAACTTCTGGCCAAATCAAAAGAGAGATAAAGAGAGATTTATGCTAGGGACTGCGAGGCTCTTACCATTAACCATTGGATAGCGTAGTGGATAACTGCACAGCCGTGCGGTTGAGGTGCCTGTTTGTATTGTTAATAACTCAGGCTGCCTTGAGATATTCTATACCTTGATTCTTCTGAAACATGACTGCACTGTTTCTCATGATCATCACTGTTAATTAGGGTTGCTATACACTGTAAGTCAAAGGGGAGCCCTCAAGGCCTTCTATACCTAATGATTTTTGAGAATAAAAACAACATTGTTATTGCTGTTTATTAAATAGCGAAGATGTGAAGATGATGAAGGAGACTCCGCTGACACTGTCTTCCATGTATAAGATGTTTATTACAAAGTAAAACAGTATCATATCAAGCACCATAAAGTACCTGAGAGGGGATCCATGCCAATTCTAAAGTGTCCCCTCCCGAACACTATAGCCTATTGCTTTATATAGGGTGGCTGCTTTCGACAAAGGGAGCAGAACATATGGTCCTTCTTAAAATAGTCTCATTCTTCTGGAACTAAAAGAGGAAGGGGACCTTAACCCTTGGACCTTTGGACCAGGGGCCCTCTAACTTAGACATTCCATACATACAAAGTCAGATAACACATGGAGCTCGGATACTACATTATCAATATTATCAGTGGTTGTTACTAATCTTGGAGCAGCAGAATTTACATAATCAGCCACATACTGAGAATGCAGTCGTCCACTAACACGTCCAGATCCATGTCCATGCTCACTCCAGTACAAGCTGTTTGCTCCAGGGATTCTCCATTCATTTTACATAGGACTACATCAGAAACAAACCTGTATTTCTCAATCTCAAATCCCACGACTGACTAGGTATACCTGGTTGTGCCCTTTGGCAAGGCACTTAACCCCCCACTGCCCCAGGCTGCACTGCTCTGCTGCCGATGCTGTGCTTGGGCATAGTTAGGCAGCAAAAATGAATAAATTTCCCTTGGAGGACCAAAAAAGTACATAACATAATGTAACATAACATAACAACTGGCTATCCTTTGATATCCTACCCTGCTACCATGTGCCGGGAATGGTCCACCACCCAAATATTGGCCTGGTCAGTCTTACTGGGCTACAGTCTTTTACTATACACCTATAGAGATGGCAACTATATAGTGGGATTGTATGCCTATATGTAGGTGGATTTTATAAAGTGGAAAGGGAGTAGAAGTTAATTCTCAATTTCAACAAATAATTAAAACGTTATTGTTTGTTTGCTCCTCTTAAATGGCAAAACTCTAGTTTTGAAAAGGCTCTCCAAACCTCGCAAAGCAAAGCACTTGATGAAAATGCCAAACGTTATTTCCATTATTAATTGAAGAGTTCGCAATTTTATCCAAGGCCTCATATCCTCATATCCTCACTGGTCCACATTAAGCAGGGGTGGGGGCTGGGGGATGGAATTGAAACTGCATGAGTGTAGTGAGTGTAATTCAAATTCTCTGATTCGTGTTATTAGCATAATGCTTCACTAGCACTCGAGATGACATTAGGAGTTATTTTTCAGACAGCAGACGAGGCATGCATAATGGGAATGCTTTGTGGTTAATCCTTGGCTTGGTATCAGAGTGATATTAAAAGCACCCATTAAAGAACAGATATTCATGTTGAAAGAAAAGGCACATATTATATGATAACAATTTGATGGACCTCATGTGTTTTTGGTACATTGTTCTGCGCCGTTTTGGCGCCAGTCCCCTTTCAGAAAAGAAATATACTGTAAAGATGTGCAGGAGATGAGCTAGAGTTGGTTTTATTGACATGAAATTCCAAGAATTGATTAGGTGAAGCAAGTAAAGTGGAGGAATCCATAGTGAAAGGAAAGAACAAAATAAGGGATTCAAACGACAAGTTAAGCATAGAACACAGAAGACAAACTAAAGCCACAAACCTACAAAGGGACAATCATAAAGCAGAATTATGACTCACAAAGACAAATGGTCACATTGGACACCAAAACGGGGGTACAAACACAGTATGAGCAAATGGCAGAGGCTGGGGCTATAGACAAGACACAGGCGAGACAGATAACAAGGAGACAGAACAAGGGAAAAAATAACAAGAGCACAAGACTCAGAGACTCAAGAAAGAACAGAAAAGTGTACATATATATATATATATATATATATATATATATGTATATATATACCCCCACCACCCAGAAGGATGTATGTGTGTATGTGTGTGTATATAGAATCCTATTTTTCTCTATGTTCTAATAATTTTTGAACTTCAGTTTTGAAAACCCTTGTAACTTCTAAAAAACTGCATAAATGTCAATAAATAAACTGAATATACATAAACTGAAACACCTACTACACAGGTACACTTTCAGTTCCTGACTGTAGCCCATCTGTTGCTGCAATTTATCAATACCCCCCAAACCCCCGGCATCTAGAAGCAGGTACAAAACATTACAAAAAATTCATGCATTCATGTTACCTTTTACACATAGTTTAACTGACTCAACATCCTGTACTGAGTTCACGACTGACTCACAGAGGACACCTTGCATAAGTGGACAATTTCAAGTTGATGTAACGGTTTTTCATGAGTTCAAGTTCCTCAGCTACACAACAGAGTATAACAAACCCAGTATATGAAACTACACACACACACACACACACACACACACACACACACACACACACACACACACACACACACACATATATACCACACAACATTTCCAAAAAAGTTGGGACGCTGTGCAAAATGTTAATAAAAACAAAATGCAATGATGTGCAAATCATTTAAGCCCTATACTTGATTGAAAAAAGTACAAAGACAACAAATCAAACGTTGAAACTGAGAAATTTTGTTGTTTTTTGAAAAATATTTGCCCATTTTGAATTTGATGCCAACAACACGTTCCAAAAAAGTTGGGACGGGGCAACAAAAGGCTGGAAAAGTTGTGCAATGCTAAAAAACACCTGGTGGTTAATTGGCAACAGGTCAGTAACATGATTGGGTATAAATGAAATGTGAAAGACTGCACCATCAAATTCAAGAATAACGTTTCTCAACATAAAATAGCAAAGAACTTTAGCTTTTCATCATCTACGGTACATAATATCATTAAAAGATTCAGAGAATCTGGACAAATCTCTGTATGTAAGGGACAGGAACGCTTCTGAAAAACACTGTCTATAAAAATAGTTTGTCTTAATGTCAGAGCTTAAACTTGTGGAGCGTAATGGGTACTTGAGTTGCTGTTGTAGTGTATTTTTTAACCCCTCTAAATGGCCAGGGCCCAAAATTTTAATCACACACCTCTATAATCTAAGAATACCTCGGCCATATATATATATATATATATACATATATATATATTTTGCAAGCTGATAAGGTTTTACAGCTGTAAGCTGGAACTGACTTCTTTGGTGCTGATGATATTAGTGTTGTGAATGCTACTTTTAATGCATTGATAGTTAATAATGCACAACAAACACAGCTATTAAGTGCAATTCATTGTTATAAATATTGATAGCCACGTTTATGAATTTATTAACGCTTTATGAATGTCTTATGAATGTGTTTATAGATGCTAATAGACATGAAATTCATAGAAAGCATTACCAAATGACTAATTGAATTTCAGTCATTATCAGCTGTGAGGATTGCCATAATAAATTACCAGAATCAGCTACATAAGATTTTAAGACATCAAAATAAAAGCCTCATCTTTCTGCACACTTCCCGTATTCGATCACATTTAGTAATGAATCTGCAAAATCCTTGGTGTGTGCAAATCATACCCTGCTGACACAAGCTTCCTCTTTGCTTCCTCTTTATGGTGTCAGTTACATGCACTTGACTGCAGCCTCTTTAGGAACGACACACTCTTAAGTGCTCGGATTACGTCTGTGCTGCTCAGGCTACTTTTGGGAATATTACAAATTTTTGGCATTTTATCACATATTTTTCCATCTTAAAATGGTCGAGCCAGTCTCAACCGACACCTGATTTGTGGTCATTTTAAGGAGATAATTTTGTTTATTGATTATTGAGGAGACAATGTGAGTATGCTAGGAATGTATTTTTATAATAATTCATTTACCTTGTATTTCATCACTGTTGCAAACATTTCCAAAATGGTAGATTTACAGGAGAACAGAAAAAAGTCATTTCTGTTTCATTTCTGTTTATCTGTTCATTGTAAAATCTCAACACAATGTGAAGAGTAACTAGAGCATTCGAATTAAGCAGAAAAGGAAAAATGAGAGCTTTTATATCCCTGTTCTTGGGACAAAACCTCGTATCTCGTAACTTTCCAGGAGAATGAAAAAACATAGTTTTCTTTTAATGTAAGTCAATGGAACCAGACCAAGTCATTTTGGGCCATTTATCATGAAATTTACGCACAATGTAAAGAGCAACAGGCATGTCAAAAACTGAAAAATGGGCATGTTTTGTTCCATCGGCAGTGATATATAAGCTCATTTCATTTCAGGTTTATTATACAGTTATTAATAAAATATAAAGACTTATTCCTATTTAGTAGCTACAAAGCATTTATAAGTACTATGAAAGCTAATATGCAAGCCATGAAATGCAATTTGCAATGGGCTTTTTGCTGAACGTATTACATTTACCAAGTGTAGCCCCTTTCATAGCTACACTTTTGTATTTGCAGCTAGAATAAGTAAGTATATTAATTTGCGATGTTGGAATATGGAATGTTGTTGATGGGAAAATAGTGGAAAATCCAAAAACAAAAACTTTTACTGGGGACTATTTGGGCTTATAACAGCCTACATGTATTTCTCCACCATTAATGGATTTTGAAAGTACACTGCAGCCCAAAACTACCATAAAACAGTGTCTCAGTCATCAGGCAGTGAATTCATAATCATTTCATGTAGTAACTTTCTGTGAGGGAGCTTTTAGAGGTGGACGTCTGGTTCCTATCACCACCACTGTGAACAATTCTGACTTATAAGTTTCTGTAGAACAGAGCGTTTCACACCAAACCACTCTGAACCACTCTGAGCCACTCTGAACCGCTCTGTTTACATCTTAACCATCTATTTATGGGAAAATTTTGAATAACACTGGTAGAATTCGGCTTTAAGCTGCCTGGAATCATTCTGTGAAGCTTGTCTAAACACATATTAGTGGATGTAATAGAATGCAAAGTGTGGATAGACTGATTTCAACAATGTAATATTAATGTGCCGGTGAGAAAACAGGTAGAAGCTTTTAAAGCAGTGTGGTCCTTTATTGATTTTCAGAAGAAAGGAACACGACCTGTAAAGACGCTGATATATTCTTTGTAAATTGCGTAGTTTGTGGAGAGAAGGTGCTTTGTTTGTGGTAGTGACAGTGTTTTATTGGTGGTAATAACAAACTCTTTCTCTCCATCAATGTTCTACACAGCAAAAAAGATGGAGGACATCCCAAATACCAGCTCACTTGTAGGACAAGGCATCTCAACTGTGGGCAACGCATGCGGAATAGACTTCAAGCAAGACAGCGTCTTCCTTCCCGTCTTGTACGGCATCTTCTTCATCATAGGCACACCCCTGAACCTGGTGGCTCTTTTCGGACTGTACCGGCTGGTCAAAACGGAGAACGTTCTACCAGTTTATGTCATTAACCTGCTACTTGCTGATCTCATCCAGCTTCTGACCCTCCCCCTCTGGATGGACTATTACGCCAATGAACACTATTGGCGCTTTGGACCGCGTTCATGTCAGTTCATGGGCTTGTTCTTCTACATCAGCGTCTACGCTGGGATCTTCTTCATGTGCATCATTGCGCTGGAGCGTCACATGGCCATAGTCAGGCCTCTCAAGTTCCAGAAGTTCCGGCAGCTGAGGTGCGCCTGGTTTATAGCCCTTGGCGTTTGGGTTCTAATCGCCGTGCCGCCCTCGGTGGCCTTCGACAAACTCTTCCCCAAGCAGAATTACACCCTGTGTATTGAGAAGTATCCTTCAGAGGGCAGTTTCATCACCTACAGGCTGATTACTTTACTCCTGTCCTTCGTCGTACCCCTCAGTTTCATCGCCCTGCTCCACCAAAAGACCCTCCGGTCGCTGATGACAATCAACTCCCTTTTGTCCGAGGAGAAGAGGCGTATCAGAGGGATGCTGACCCTCCTGGTGGCCATATTTGTCACGGTGCTGGGACCCTATCATTTCATCGGATGTGTGAAGTACCTCGGGCTGCTGATCCACCGCCAAGTGTGCGAGTGGGAGAAGGCCATGTTTGTCCCTTATCAGCTGGGGAGAGGCTTGCTAAGCCTCAACAGCCTGCTTGATCCCGTGCTCTATATCTTCCTGCGGAGCGATTTCCGGGTGCTGGCAGGACGCTACTTACCCTGTTTGAGGACGGCGAGGAGCCTCGGTAAGAAGTCATCAAGTGGGATGTCAGAGAGACCAACAAACTCCACCCAGACCTGAGGACAGGGCTGTGAACACTTCATATAAGCCTGTGAATTAGCATTTTTAGAAACAGGCACAATTCTGTTTTTCTTTTATACTTATCCAAGTAAGTATACTTACACTTAATACTTATACATTCTATCAAACTGGTTCAACATCAGAGCTGAAAACACATTTTGGATTTTTAACTGACTTGGACTTTTGACTAAAATCCTTTTGGGGTGGATTTTAAAATAAAATATAGAACCATGAACACTCAAAGAACCATTTGCATGCTTAAATAATTCTTTGCATGGTGAAACTGTTATTTAGATTAATTGAGAACGTGCTGTATATGATTCTAGATAGAACCTTTTAGAAAACGGTTGCATAAAGCAACAAAAGGAGTTCTGGTATTTGTAAGATGTCAAGTTTGAACCCTTTTTGGTGTTACAAATCATCCTCCATCAATCCAAAGAACCATTTCACCATGCAAAAAGCCATTTAAGCATGTAATGCTTCTTTACGTGTTCCTGGTTCTTGATAGAACCATTGTCTTTACTAAAGAACCCATGAAGAACCATCCTTTTAGCATGCATTTAATGGGAAACCATACTATGATCACATGAACAGCATGATCAGTATTAGCAACATTAGCATTTCTGGCTTTTCTCTCATTTAAATTGGTGTTACTTCAGAGACAAAGGCTTGAGCAATGATCTGTGGTGAGAAGCGCGTTATGAAAAAGATCTGTACATGATGAAGTCCTGAACACAGGTTTCCTGAATATAAATGAAGCCTGGTCTTAGACGAAATTAGACTGCCTTTGAAAACCCTCTGCCTAAGACTGGCTAATGCTGTCTATACTTAATCTGTTTCCTGACCATGAGCTCTAAATGTTCAATGACGCTGAGAAAAAAAAGATGGAAAAAAGTTAAAATGTTCTTGTGGTTGTTCTTTTAAATGAGGGCCAGCCATCTCTTTAATCTGACATCAATAGCTTATTCTTTAAAAAATCTAATGCCATAGCTTTTTTTTCTGCATGTACAGAAACCATAGTTATCTTGATGATGAAGCATTAAGGGCTGAATTGTATCTATGGTTGAGGAAGTGCGAGGCTTTCAAAGCCAACTTTTTATGTAAATAAATAAGCTTGCTTTCATTTTTGTATCTATTTACTTAAATACATAAGTTTGCTTTCGTGCGCAGTATAAGTTCTTTGACTTTTATTTATTGCCAGTTAAATCTGACACAAATTGTAGCAGGGAGTTTATTTGTATCGTCATCTTGAAACTTCATCTTATCCTTCTGATATATGGTGAAAAAAAGGTGACGCATCTGTTGAACTGGCTGAAGTTTTGACACAGTAAATTTGATTCACAGTTGTTGCCCAATTTCAGAAGATTGAAAACTGCATCTGCACTCTCTTTGGCAATCTGGAGGAAAACCTGTTTCACATTTTGTAGTACCAGCACAGGCCTGTAACACCTTCCCAACGACTTTTTCTAACACCAACAAAAACTGTCACACCAGTGAAATTTAAAAACACCAACACAAGAATGTAACACCAGTGACATTCTGTAAAACCAACACAGGACTATAACACCAGTGACATTTTGTAATACCAACAAAAACTGTCCCACCATTGAGTTAAAAAAAACACCAACACAGGACTGTAACACCAGTGACATTTTAAACACACCAACACAGGACTGTAACACCAGTGACAAAGTGTTTTGTTAACGTCAGTGACAAAAATAACTAGAACAAAAATATTTCTTTTATTTTCACAATGTTTATGAACTTGATTATGTATTACTGATTATGTAAGGAAGCCTTTTACTAATAACTTCATGGTTTTGACTGTGAATTGTTCTGCAATAAAAAAAATTAAAACATTTTACTGTGGGACAGTCTATTTTGTGAACTTGTGTGTATTAATAATCATTATCTGAGGATATTTGAATTTATTCACAAAAAAGTAATCAGCTTAGTTCCAATTCAGCCATTCTGTATTATACCAGAAACAGCCACATAGTCATGGATAAAAAACAAGTCAAAACTACCTCTCAGTTCATATAGGAAGGTGGTGACTGTAATCAGGTGTAACAGTTCAGTACTATGGTGATGATATTTGTGGTTATGGTTTGTGATTGGATGCTGTAGGCATCACATGGCCCTCTGGTGAATTCTGGGAGTTGGAGTCAATGGACGGATGGTGTGCTGGCCATTATGAACTACAGGGCTGTAGGGAGGCCTGACACATTCACACTCAGCTCCTACTTTTGTTTGTGTTTTAAGAGGAATTATTAAACTGTTAAGATGTAAACAGAGTCATTCAGAGTGGTTTGGTGTGAAACGCTCCGTTCTAGAGAAACTTACTGAGTCAGAACTGTTCACAGTGGTGGTGATAGGAACCAGACGTCCACCTCTAAAAGCTCCCTCACAGGAAGTTACAACATGAAACAGTTATGAATTCACTGCCTGATGTTTGACATTTACAGTACTTTTGAGAAGATTTTGGCCTAAAAAATATTTTGCACAACCCAAAGGAAACCTATTTTTTCTGACTTACCACTATTTTACCAATACCAACGTTCCATATAAACCCAGAAGACTCGTGTAGGTTCACTGGTGGTTCTGGATAGTAAATAAAATGTCTATATTTGTGTTGTAGTCATGGCGACCCCTGGTTCCTATCACCACCACTGTGGTCTAGAATGTATTATCTTGCAGAAAGCAGGGTGTTGTAAGGCAAAAAGTCCTGACAGAAAACATTTTTATTTAATACTTTTGGATTTTCCCAAAAAGAATTGGAATTCCTCTTTATGTTGGTTCAGCTTTGGTAGACTGCTTTGTTGCTCACATTTTTTGCCATCTTTTGAGGTCTGTAATTAGTTTTAGCCCAAATATACCACAAAAAGAGGATACGAGCAAAGTTGCTATGCTGATAGATGCTGGATATACTAAGAGGTTCAGCTGCAGTTTTATAACTCATTCAATATTTTTTTGTTCCTCTTCAAGTTGGTTCACTAGGCTTCTTTTACGTCTGAGTCACGCCATGAAGTAACAGCACTTTTACTTAAACGGGTTCAGGCCGCTCTACCTACCTCTGCCCATAACAACATAACACAAACAAGTTCAAGATGCAGCACTTGTGGACTTTTCTAGAAGTGGAAATAGATGCATCTGTTATTTCCTGACTTCCTCTAACCGATGAGACACCAGCAGAGGCAGATTACCTCTGAATAAAGCCCTACTCTCAGCAACATTAGCATTTCTGGCTTTCACAGAAATGGTGTTGTATCATTTAAGAGGTGCAGGTTAGAGTGATGATCTAAGAAGAACAGCACATTATGAAAAAGATCTGCACATTATGAGGTCCGAAAATGGTTTCCTGAATATAGAAGCAGCCTGATCTTAGCTGAAATTACACTGTCTGTGGTAATTCTCCATTTTAGAGGCCTACATTGTGGGAATTGTGCAAATTGTCCTCACTTTTTTGGAATAAAAGAGTTTGATGTAGTGTGTAAACGTTGTTTCAAAGCATATCATTCACTGTACAGTCCATATAGTCTGCATAAGGAAAACTAAGCTGCAGAAACAGCCCGTTTTGAATTCGTTGTTTCAGTGATGTCATGAAAACTCAAATCATTTACATGTAACCACCTATTCAGGCTAAAGCAGTTTAGCTCAGCTGAAGTTATAAGGAGTGTTTCAGCCTGGACTGCTTTTTAAATGAGGCAGCCAATCAGAACGGAGCGCACTTACATATACATGGTCTTAAAGGCGCCGTAACAAAAATTTGATTTAAAGGGATAAAGAGAGGTTGGAAAATGTTCCCGATCACTCTGATGATCCATAAAAAGGGAAAAAGCGGCTGGTGTATAAATCCAGGAGGTTTGGGAGCTGGACCCCGGTGATGCGCCGGGCTGTCCGCACCACCCTCCGCAGAGCTTTCCGCTCGATGGCGGTGCAGTTCCCGTACCAGGAGGTGATGGAGCCTGTTAGAATGCCCTCCACAGTACATGCGTAGAATGTTCCGAGGATGCGGGGATGCATGCCACCCGTGTGGTGCGTTTGGTCCACGTCAGCTCCTCTGAGCTGTAAACACCGAGGAACTCAAAGCTGCTGACCCTCTCTAGAGAGGCTCCGTTGACGGTGACGGGGGTGTGCGCTTTCTCTTGCTTCCGGCACCAGTGTGTCAGGAAGCTGACTTCCTCTCTGTAGGCCTCCTCGTTGGCCCACAATTGTGGTGTCACCTACAAATGTGATGATGGCATTGGAGCTGTGTCTGGCTGAGCAGTCGTGGGTGTACAGGGAGTACAAAAGAGGTTTAAATTGGTTTATTAATACAACCTGTTTCCAAAAAAGTTGGGACGCTGTGCAAAATATAAATAAAAACCGAATGCAATGAAGTGAAAATCATTTAAACCCTATATTTTATTGAAAATAAACATATCAAATGTTGAAACTGAAAAATTTTATTGCTTTTTGAAAAATATACGCCTATTTTGAATTTGATGCCAACAGCACATTCCAAAAACACAGAGATTTCTCCAGATTCTCTGAGTCTTTTAATGATATTCTGTACCGTAGATGATGAAAAGCAAAAGTTCTTTACTATTTTACATTGAGAAACATTATTCTTGAATTGTTGCATTATTTGATGGTGCAGTCTTTCACAGAGTGGTGAACCCCTCCTCATCTTTACTTCTGAAAGACTCCGCCTCTCTGAGATTCTCTTTTTGTACCCAGCCGCGTTACTTACCCTGTTGCCTTGAACCTAATGAGTTGTGAGATGTTCCACCAGGTGTTTGTTAGCATAACATGACTTTACTAGTTTTTTGTTGCCCTGACCCAACTTTTTTAAACATGTTGCCGGTATTAAATTCAAAATGGGCATATATTCTTTTAGAAAAAATGGTTTCGACATTGATTTGCACATCATTGCTTTTTGTTTTTATTTACATTTTGTACAGCGTCCCAACCATTTTGGAAATGGGGTTTGTCATCTTGTGTGGTTTGATTGTGGATTTCCCCAAAGTGGCGTAAGACGATTCTGGTGTGTTCTTTCTTCTGATCTTCACTTCCTCCTATCGATGTGGCGCAGCTCACCAGCAACGGCCAGATCTGCCTGACTCAGCCCTATTTGGCAAAGCCATTTCCTGCCAATGCAGAAATGTTACAGGATGGTCCTGTTCAGAAATGCAAGCCACGCCATCTGCAGCTTGA